ATTCTAAATGTATTTTTGACAATAAGAGTTCTTATTACACATGATATCTGAAGACATCCCAAAGTAGTTCTAAATAACATTTTTCCCAGATAATTTTTAATTCTATGATATTCTACTACATTCCACTATAGAGGGCAATACACTGCTATTTGGGTGGAAAGAGCTGCTGATTAGCTCATTAGAGTCCATCCCAAGTAGACTGCTGAGTTTTCAAATCTGACTCAAAGAACATGTTGAATATGAAGAGTTCTTGAATAGCATATTTTCTTAAGGTCCAATTAACATTAGAATTATCACTATGAGGTATATGAATGATATCTAAATCTATAGCTTCCAGTTTGGACATCCTATAATTTCTAATTTCTATAATCAATTACTTCTGTCAAACATAAATCTTTGGGAAGAAGAGTATGGGTAAATCAGATAACTGCTGCTGTTTTAGCTTAAAACATGTATTATTTCCCCTTTAAACTAGTAAATATGATAGCAGAAGCTTTCCACTCTATGTGAGTAAACCTTAGGAATGAATATCTTTTTAACAAGTCTGACTTTCAAATTCCTCAGGAATCATATCTTTCTTGCCTGCATTAAGAAAATGCCTAAGGTTCTGCATTGGATGAACTCTGTAGCCTATATTCCTGAGGAATGAGATGTTTCATGAATTATCGGCAGCAATAAAAATATAAGCTAGATAAACAGGTACATCAGCATTCTTCTTTTTCTTCTTTTTCTTCTTGCTCTTGTTCTTCTTTTTCTTTTTCTTTTTTTTTTTGGAAGATACCAAGCCAGCCAAAATTTCTTATAAATTTATAAAGCCAGCCAGACTTCTTATAAAATATTTTAAGCCTAACAAATGATACATTTTTTGAATTATAATTTTAAACTTGCAAGCTAAATGTTGAAAGTAGGGCTTCTGGTTTTCATTTAAACTGATATTTACTAGTAAACGCCTGCTGGAAAAAACAAGACTTACCGGTAAATATTAGTTTATTTCCCAAAGATATCAACTTTTTTCACACTGTTCATAGATTCAGAACTCCAGCAGGCAGCTTTACACCAAACAATGCCTAAGACAAAAATGAGCTTTTCAGCTTTATTGATATTTGCCAAAAAAAAAGAGAGAGAGAGAAACATTACCCACCCTCCCCCAGGGTATATTGGTAGGCATTAAAAGGCTGAAAACAGGATCCAGAAGCCCTAATTCTAAACACTGGTTCAAGGGTGACAAGTTTTTTAGTGCTAAGATTAACTTCTTATCCAATTAATCTTCAATGCACTATTAAGTGTTAGAGCAACTCTGTATACCTCAAGACACGATCTGATGCCTGGTTTGATTTGGATGCATCACAGCTCTGATGCTTCTCTTGAGCTTTGGCCAGTTTCTCTGCTGCAGCAATAGGACATCCGGAGAGGCTGCAATTACAGAAAGAAAATGTAATTGTCCCATCCAGAATAGCTTCACTGAGCTCTTTTTTTTTTTCTTTTTTTCTTTTGTAAACATAATGGAGAAGCTGGCTGAACGGGTAGGGGGAAGGAACTATGTCTTGATGCCCAGCATTCATCCTCTAGAATGCAAAATTCTGCTTTTAAAATCACAGGGTTGCCATAAAAGATTAACCCCTGTTCCACTATACATGACTAATTCTACTGATCTTGTGATCTACCAAGCCAGATAGAATCTTCCAACTACATATTGTGACAGTCCAGGTGCTTAATTATCATTGTTTCTGCCTTCCCACTGTTTTTACAAAAACAAAGCTTAATGAGCTGATGATTAGCCACCAAGAAGCTGGTGAGCTGCATTCAACTCGATAAGCCACAAATTATGCTTTAGTTTAGTGTTGTTGTAAATGTTCAGGAGAACATTGCTGCCAGGCAAACCGAATATAGACTTAAATATGCAATACTGTTGGCAGAATTTCCTACATATCTGCCAACCGTATTGTCTACTGCTGCTGCTATTGTTGCTATTTAAAAAAAAACAGAGAAGAATATGGCTTGCTTATTTGAAAGTGAGCAACACTGAATTCAGCAAGGTTTACCTTCAGTGAAAGTAGTTAGGACAGAGCTTTAAATAATCTTGTGCTGATTAGAATTTAGAAAAAAAGTGTAGCAAAAAAAAAAAAGGAAATAAAAATTCACTTGCTGTTGAAATTGATAGAAATTCTCTTGGGAGAATCCGGGCATCAATCCATAAGGACATAGCAGATAGAAAATGAAATGAAATATAAAGAAAAAAATTAGACAGTTAAACTAGAACACAAACACATAACTATCAAAAAATTTCTCAAAGTCAAATTGAATTAAATCAACTTCTGGTGCCTCTTCAGGATCATAAATCCGAAGAGTTTTAGGGAAACTACTATACAATACAGTAGATAATATTGCCTAAGCATAGCCTAGAAGTCCAAAAAGTGCAGTATATGGACTACATTGAGCCCATCAACATCCTCTTATGCTCCACTGAATCCAACTTTGATGAGACCAAAGTTGTCCTTCCCCTCTTTTAGCAAAAACATTGTGATCATCAGGTATCATTCATTCCTAAAGTAGTTCTTTGTAAGAACCAAGACAAAAGGCAAATAAACAAAAATAATACCAATGTCTTAATCTTTTCAAAGACATTAATCACCTGAGATGATGAGAGACCTGAGACCTGAGAGACTTCTAAGAATCCTGTATTCAGAATTGAATTCAGAATTTAAAACTTTTGAAAAGAACATCATTTTAAATCCTAAAACATTTTTATGGTGTCATGTCCCTGTCTGAGGACTCATCTTCATTGCAGGACCAATGATAAGGCACTAGGGAACCAGATATGAAATGCCAGACCAAAAAAAAAAAAGAAAAAGGAAAAAGGAAAAAAAAGAAAAGAAAAGAAAAGAAAAGAAAAGAAAAGAAAAGAAAAGAAAGCATCAGGCTTCATTGCACCAGATCCAAGCTCAGTTGATTCAGATCCAATCTCACAGTGAGGGGGAAAGCTACTGCTAGAAAGTAGAAAAGTGGCGAAAACATGTATATACCAAGAAGAATCTGACATAGCCAAATCTATCAGAAGTAGATTGATACGAATGAATCAATCTGATTTGTGGAGTTGTAAGGGTGGAATAGGTCTTCATTTCAGCTCATCTGAACACATCTCCTATCTAGCTCCTAGCCATGCATCCTTCTTGAAACACTAATTCTTGTCTGACATCATCTCCTCACTACTGGTGAGAATTTCTACTTCCTTGAGTGTACATAATAATTCCATCTATGACAGCCTGATGAATTTACAGGTTGGATTGTTTGCTATGTACCTCTAGCTAAAATAGTCTGACAACCCATGAGATCATCAGATCCATAATCATTCAACAGGGCAGACATTTTTATATCCTTATACAGCTTCCCCTTGGCAATCAGTTTTGTACTTGGTAAAAAAAAAACTTTCAAAAAAGTTAATGTTTTAGGATTTCATATTAACTGAATGGGATTTACCTAAAGACTACCTCAGTGTTTCCTCATGGAAGTGTAGGATCTGTCAGTCTATAAAAACTGTAATGTGTTTTATACTACTTGCTTTATGAATTTCTTATTTATAAGCATTTTTGTTTGGAAATCCATACAAACCAAGATTGACAAGGTACCAAAATGGAAAAGGACTCTGTTCTACTTCTAATTACATATGCCATCTTTTATTTTCTTCAATTATATTCTCTGTTTCAGGTTTCAGTCAGGCAATAAAAAAGAGGCTCCTTTTTTTGCATGCCACTAGTGTTAAAATCTTATATACAAAAGCTCTTTGCCCATTATGGGTATAATCAATCAGCATGATATAATTTTTGTGAAACAATCAGACACCATCAATTAGTATGCAATTCACCGACAGGCAAAAAAAGGAACAAGAGCCAAACAAGATTTTAGAAGAAAACAGATCAACATCCACAGAAAAGTTGAGTCATGACTTCAATATATTTAATAAGCTATAAAAAAGAGAGCATTTGTTGCAGCAACATCATTTTGTAGAAAAACCAAAATGCCTGTGAAATATTGAAGCACAATATGGAGGCTTAATCACAGATTAGGATTATATTGTGCCAAAATGTGGCTAGATTCTGCCTTCTACAGGGTCCTGAAGGAACTTAGAAAGTCCAAGTGCATTCAATCGGTTTTGAAATTTGGTTTAGTCCTGAATTAATTAACCATGTCTCAAAGTTATCATTGCCCAATCAAACATCAGACAGCAATGATATTGTCTTTTCAAGATAAGCCCCCAAACATTTTGATGTTCCCCACCCCGCAGGGACCAAAAAGTGCTGAAACATTAAATCTGCCTGTTCAGGGAGCTGGATCTTACCTTCGATGAGAATTCCTGTTGCTATTTACGTGGCCCCGGCCTGTGCAGCCCGGTGTAGGACACTTAAGAACGTTTTCATGCATGGCAAGAACTTGACAAGAAGAAGGAGGAAAGGAAACAGCGGAGTGTGGAAACAACAACAAGAAGAAAAAGATTTCAAGTCCAAGTTTATAGGAAGCTATTTTAGTACAAAGCAAGATTCATTAACGATCAGCATTTCTGAAAACAGACATGGGATAGGTAGCGCCAATCAAGCCTGGGAAGGGAAAGAGGGCTTGCAGTGTATTTATTAACGCAGGATGATGTTAAAACATTCAGGGTTATGAAGGGAAGGAAACCTAACGGTTAATGCGTCTCTGGTGTGACAGTTAAGCAAAAGACTGCATACACAAGCAGTGAGCAAAAGTACTGAGGAGCACAGTGGCCAGTTGGAGCCATTTTAAGAAATATATACGGAAGAATGAACTGATTTATGTACACAAAATAGGCATCCAGTATCTGGAGTCAATATAGCATAACATGTAAGCCGATTCATCTCAGGGTAGCCAGAAGTGGGCAGGAAAGACACTGGTTCTGAGGCCTACCGAAGGCTTAGTATGCAGAACTATTGCTTCTTAAAAGTTCAGTGGCAGTTGGAATCCCGTGGCTATCAGAACGATGATTTTCTGCTGTCTTTACTTAATGGGATTGGAGCAAAAAAAGGAGAACCACGAGGAACAAAGATAGTGGGCAAGAAAGAGTTTTGAAGAAGTACGGGCAAGTTGTGCACACCAGAGCCAGGAAGTTTGGCTTATTATGCAAACAGGATTGTAATTCTCTATGGTCAAACAAATACTGGGCAATGGTTGCATTTGGGTGATGGAGGAGCCAATTCTATTGTTCATTTTCCTGGATCTCAAATTCTCAGGGTTCAAGATTGCAAGAGAGTGCACAGTTCAAAACATGTGTGGTCTGACTCATGAAGGAAGAATAATTTTGAGGGGAATGCCTTTGAGTCAATCTTGACTGCTTGTAGTTACCTGGACTAGTCTGCAGGTTTTTTTGGTATTTTTTTTTGGGAGGGGGGAAGTGGTTTGCCTTTGCCTTTTACCTAGAGCCGGGAGAGAGGAACTGACCCAAGTCACCAGGTAGCTTAATGCCTCAGGCAAGACTAGAACTCACAGTCTCCCAGTTTTAGCCCAATGCCTTAATCCTACACTGAGCTGGCTCACAAATATTATTTACCCTAAATTAAAGCTTTAAGTGCTAAACCAGAAAGTCATCCATTGGGAGAGAGGTTTTTTAAAGGGGAGAGAAGGAACAAAATGTGTTGTGACATTACAACACAGGCTCCGCCCTTTTTATACTTGCATGCAACATTGTGTTGCCAATACAAAAGAGTAGAACTTGCATTGTGATGTCACAATGCACATTTCAGGAGTTTGATATCATCATGATTCGAAGTGGATGCCTATGTAAACCAGCCTTTTTGCAACAAATGTCCTCCAGCTATGCTGAAACCCTAACCACCCTTAATTCCAGAATTGATCGTCCTGGCTTGGAATCCTGAGAGTTACAGTCCCAACATATCTGGAAGGCACTGTGTCAAGGAGGTTGTACTAAATTATTTTGCGTTTTGTTTGTTTTCAGCATATTTGATGAACTTAGTCAGCGACCAGCTTGTGTGCAACATGAAAAAAAAATGCTTTGAATTCATATCACCATTACATGATGACTTATGCAAAATTATACTACATTTCAAAAACAAAAACCAATCTTGAAATCATGTTCAATGCTTACATGAAAGCCAAGGACATCAGAAATAGAACCTGTACATATTGATTTAAAGAATAGTCACAACCACCATAATTCATCACCATCACCACACCACTAGCAGTGTACTAAAGATGTGAAAGCTTCACTCTGGAATTCCTGCTATTCAAAGCTGTTCTTGAAACATGCTTTACAAGCCCAGCACTGCAGGAGTCAGGGAAAAAAAAGAAAAGAAGAAAAAAAGATGATCTCACCTTTTTCACTTTTATCACTACTGAACATGCAAACTGTTTAAAGCTATATTCTTCTTTGATCGGCAACATTTCCTAAATGCTTTGTGTTTACCATTTACCAGGGAGGAAAAGATGAAATGCTCTGAGCAACTGAGTAAACATTTGAGTTTGAGAAAATATTATTGGGTCTTGCTAAACTGGCAACTGAATTCCTTTGATCAGTGAAATTCACACACTAGCTGAGAAATTGTATTTTTAAATTTTTTTTAGTGTTTCCCTGAGCTTTATTCTGTATAAAAAAAGAAAGTCTTCTATAGAAAGAAATATACCATTCAACTCCATGCTTTTAAACTGCATAAAGTTTTAAGTCTGTGTTAATCATTCTATGTCTTTATGTTTGTAAATTCATTCATTATTGGCACCATGTTTGTTGGGAATCATTTTGCTCAGGAGGCAGAACAATTCGATTTCTCACTTAAAAGTGAGAGAATGAATTATTTGGAGTATTAACTCATTCTACCACCTTGTACTATCATGTCCTGAATGAAAGAAGTTTATTTAGTCTAAAATATGATAAATTATAGAGGAAGGGGAATGAAATTTATATGACAACCCTACATCACATGGTAGGATTTCCATATACAATGCAGTATGCCATTTAGCATTCCTATTTTGGATATATTATGAATAGTTTTATTTGCTTAGTTTAATCCATTTTTGTAGTTACAGAGTTAATGAATACCCAGATTTTAGAAAGCCATTATCTGATAGTGAGGAAGTTTTTATAACAGTTTAAACTAATGTTAAAGTTTTGCTCAAAATCATACAAGTTGGTTTTTTTAGCTTTCTTGAGAGATTATGAAGAATTTCTTATAATTTAAGACAAGTGCAATTTTTAAAATCATACTTCTTCCTCCTTTATCCCTTTTATACAGCCACAACATGTTTATGCTAACATCACAAGTTGAATTACTATAAATCAATCAAATTTTTCAAGGTCAAATATTTTAAATAATTACATGTTTTTAGTATATAAACATTTCAGTAATTCAGCTGTACATTTTCAAACTGAAAGGTACGTTTACTTCATTTAGTCAAGAGAAATCCTTTTCAAGGAGTAGGTACAATTACTCAAAATTAAAATAATACAGTTTGGTTAGAAAATACTTCTACGTGCAAGAAAGCAATTGCTTAGAGATATCCCAGTACTCTCAGGATCAAAGAATACAGCTTTAAAACATCTTCATTCAAGCATAAGTTAGTAAAGATGTGAAAATGATGAAATAAGAAAATATATAAATGTAACATAAAACAAATTGCTAAACTGAGACATATACTAGAAAAATGGGAGGAATGAAAGAGCAATCAAAATAAAAAGCTTCTCAAGGCATGCTAGAAAAGTTTGTGTGGAATTTTATCCCCCGTTTCCATGAAACAATGTGGACTTACTTTCTGGAGGGACCCTATCTTTGTGTGGGCATCCTGACAAACTGCGGTGATGGGGGTATAGCCCCGTTACATGGCCTGTTCCATCACACCCAGGGGTTGGACATTTGCTCTCTTTCTTTTCTGTTCTTGAGGGATCTATAATTTACAACAAACGTGTCAAGTGAATGATGTTTTTCAGATTTCCAAATGGACGTAGGTTCAGTTAATGAAATCAGTAACTCTTTGGAAAATGTTCTTAAAGAACACTGGAAGAAAACAAGCCAGGCTCTGTTTAAACAATTTTATGTCCTGCTTCTTCTTCTCAACCAGAAGCTATTACAATTACAACCATCCCCAGACATGGAGGGTCCTAGGTGGCAACTTTCTTCCAGCAAAGCCACCTTTGTCATTTAATATAGTTCTGTAAAACATTTGTGTAGGCTGTGCTTTGCCCTCATTTTTAGCACTTACATATTGATGTTAATAAATTTATGGTGGGAGAAGTATGGAGATCCCGTGAGAGGGGACCCCCCCAAAGATTGCAAGTTATTCTTGTAGTGGCATTTTTAAGAGGATTGATATAGACTTATCAAAACATTGTTAAAGAATATTAGAACTTAAACAAAAATGTGTTTCTTTCCAATGAGTAATTAGTAGAGGTTAAAACAGTTAATATTTTCTTTTAATTTGGCCCAATAGTCACTTACTTATGATGTTTGAATACTTATGACATTTAAACAAAATGTTTGTTGCTTTAATTAATGATATTCTCAGAAAAACAAACCTATTCTAAGAAACAGTTCCTGCCCGGAAATCGACAGAATTAGTGTAGATTTTTTTTTCTGGATTTTGAAATGCAGTTCCAATGCCATTATTTCATGCTTTTTTTCCTTTTTACTAAAGTATTGCTCATCAATATTACACAATCAGTTATCCAAAGGGAAAAAAATATCCAAACAGTTAAATTCAATTTCTGATTTGTATGTATATTCAAGAAAATCGAGCAGAAGAATAAGAACAAATGATATAATTTTGGGGGGAATTTTTGTTGGGCGGGGAAGGAGAGAAGGCCCATGAAGATTGTAAGTCTCAATTCCTTGAAATGGCCCATCACACTCCACTCCATCCTCCTGCTCTGTATCAGCTTCAGTGGAGGTATAAGATATTTTCAAATGCCTGGAAAATGAACTTTGCTTTGAATTCTTAAGTCACAGTTTTAAAACAAGTGATAGAAAAGGGAAAGAAAGAGGTTCTGAATCTCCTCAAAGAGAAATCCTGAACTCTTCTAATCTTCTTCCCTGATAAGCACTTTAGTGTAGAGGACTAAGTGCTAGTGTGCATGGATAAAAGAAATAATCTCCCCAATCCAAATTACAAAAATAATAATAATAATACGTATTTCAACTCCTTTTTTTGTCCTATGATTATATCCATGCAAATCAGAGGCTGAAGTCAACTGAAAGAGAACTAAGAATCCTAACAAGGTAAATAAATCAAGGTTTCGTTCTTTGATAAAATATTGAGTAGATAACAGGATTATTATTTCAGGTGCATTTCACAAAATTATGGTGCATATGCAACATATGCCCATTTCCCTGATGATTTACACATTTGTCAAATTCACACTTTTAATTTTCAAAACATGATTTTGCACCAATTTTAGACAATTGTAAGCACCTCTGAAATAATTCATAGAGTCAATAAGGGAAATTATCTCAAGATAACTGCTTAGACGTAATACATTCTGAATTTTAGTTTTGTACAGGAACTCTAATATTTTGATTAATATGTAGCCAGCTTTCAAACAGATACATGCAATATGGCACATAAGATTCAAACGCACATAGGATTCAAATTCAAATTAAAAAGTCAACTTTGATCATTGAATAAATTTACCCTGCTTACAGCAAATGAAAAAAAAGGTTATCAGCACTCTATATTTAGTCCTGGCTGTGTGATTTTATTTACTGTAGATTAACATTAGAGTGTTTAAAAGTTTTTTTAAAAAATCTCATTTTTTCACATATCCTAAATCTCAATTCAATTAAACCTTATTTGCATGACAGCTAAGAACTTTGACAAATTTAAGACATTTGCTTTTTATATTTAAACACAGATTAAAGCAAGAAATTATATTTCACAATTGGATCATTTCTAATTATTCCTGTGTCGCAGACTAACACACTATACAAAGCCAATGTATTGTATAGAGAGAGCAGAACGTATCATCTTTGCTTTATAGTCGAGTACTATTTTATTGTGAGCTCACAGAGGTAAAATAAGGTCATGTTCTAAACTACACTGTTCATTTTTATCCATGGTCTCTGTAACTAACCATGACTTGGGATTTAGTGCACATATAAGTCCAAACAGCCATCATGCGGTTGTATATACTCTCTGTGCTTCCGCTCCATGAAAGTTCTCATCTAAAAGTAAACAACCTGATAGTAGATCAGGACATTTACCGAAATGAGGAACAGATGGAAATCTGCCTCTCATCAAAGGAGATGCAAGAAATTTGCACACTGGTTGTTATAAACAGAGCTCACATTTGATATCTATCAGTCACTGGAATATTTTGTAATGACTTCATAAATTTGCTAAAGAAACCTAATTATCTGAGCCTTTGTGTCTTGGGAAATGTATTTTTGCAGTAATATGCCTTGTCAGCCAAAAGAAGCCTGACAAAAACATTCTAACAAAATACAGTATATTAATTAAATATTCAGTCACATTATTAGGAGATCAATAAACCTGCAAAAAGTAAGAAGGTGAGCAAACAGCTGGCAGCCCATAATACATGGTAGGAAAGTTGCTTTGATCACAAATTATGTGGGACAAATTGTGTGGGATGCTTCAAACGAAATATTTTAGCAATATTTTTAATAAAACAGGAATTCTTACGAATAGACCAAATATATATCTTCTCTTTGGACCATGTAATATAAATAATACATCTCAGAATAATTAATAATATTCCCCTAAACTCAGCAAATGAACAAATGTTTTAGTGACTATTAATAGTAACTAGGACTTTGATAAGATGAAGCTAATCACTAACCACAAGTCTATAGAAGTTGAGAATAAAATACCACTGGTGTGTAGCTCCAAGTTTATCCCTTGGGAGCTATCTATGGCATTTATATACCACAAATTTTATGTCAGTCTTACAAATGGCTCTTCGAGACATATTTGAGACATGTCTAAAAATAAATTAATAAATAAATCCAGTCAATATTAATTTTATATTGTGGTCATGCTATTTCATGTAACAGTATTCCAGGGCAACAAGAAAGATAATAGTTAACAAGAAACATATAGCATAAATAATGTAAATCTTTAGACAATTGGAATTAATACTAGAAATAAATGCACAAACATCCATCAATACTATTGACATAGTATCAGTTAATGAGCTGAAATACCTAGAATAAGATTTTTATAATTCAGATCATACTCATAGGTTATTTGCACAATAGTGAATACTAATTTAATAAGCCAACCATAAATGCACAAATGTTTTTATATGACCTATATGGAACTTCATTTCCAGTGCATTTTTCTGCTCCAAACATTGAGTAAGGGAAATACCTTGGTTATTTTGAATACTACTACTACTACTACTACTACTACTACTACTACTACTACTACTATTATTATTATTATTATTATTATTATTATTATTATTATTATTATTATTATTATTATTATATAATTTCTCTAATCACTGAACCAAGTGAAAGGAAAGTGG